GCCCCCAGATCTTTTTCAGAGTCACTGCTTCCCAGGATAGAGGTCCCCATCCTGTAAGTATGGCCTACGTTCTTTGTTCCTAGTGATGTATATTTACTTATAGCAGTATTAAAACATACACTGTTGGCTTTGCACAGCTTACCAAGCAATTCAGATCGCTCTATATCAGTGTGTGACGCTTTCTCAGTGTGCAGAGTGGTAAAGTCACTCTGTTACCCATTTGCCTCAGCATAAAAGGGAACTGCTGGGGCTAAACTGAGTCACAACTCTTTGTCACTCCAGTTTGCTAGTCAGCCCCACAGAGTCCTCAGGACTCCACCAGTCCTAACTTTGCCTTGCAGGTTAATCCTTGGTGCATTCAGCTCCCAGACTCTCCAGAAGCATCTCCCTGCAGCATCCAGCCCCTGTCACTGGACACCCACAGAAATGACCAAGTCTGCTGTCTCCAAAGAGACAGGATACACAGCCGCCTGTTGGCTTAGCTGAGGATTCACACTTTATTTCAACACACTGCATTGGGATGAACTTACAGTGCAAGGAAACATAAGTTTATTAATAAAGAACAGAAATTCAACTGATACTAAGCAAAGGTAACAGAGAGAGAGAAATAGTTAAAAATAAAACTAAAGGATAACATGCTTCTAAGTGACTAAAACTTAACTAACCAAAATTCTTGGCTAAAATAAGATTCTTACCTAAATCGGCCTTTCAGTGTCACCCACCCACATGTTAGGGGATCCACTGTGCAAAAATACAAAGAGCACTGGCCTCTTTGTCCCCTAAGTGATGGGTAACCAAAGGTCATTTTGCTGCCCCTTATATTCCCCAAAGTTTATTGTCTCTGACACCAGAATCAGGATGAATCCCTGGGATTCAGACTCCAATGTCTTCCCAGGCTGATTTCACATCCTCATGTTAATTTGTTGCCCCTGTGTATCTCCAATGCAAATGAACTGCCTACTGTCTCTGGCATCACCTTGCTCAATTCCCATTAGAGACATGGGGATAACTATATTCCCTCTTGTCTGGAAGACAACTTGTTTCTCCCTTAGTTTGGTTACAGACTTAAAGCATAATATCAGTAATTCCTCATATAGTGTAATAAATACATTTTGCAATTATATTAATGGCCAGTGTGTCACCAGCTTTCATTTGGTACTCATACAACATTCTTTATAGATTGATATCATGACAGCAATGTGATAGGTGTAATGAGTTTGTCAAGCTTGATAGGAGTTGCTGAGTAGTGAAATACCAGTGGGCCTCTGTGTCACACAGTGACCATAGGATTAGATAGGTAAATAAAAGGGTTTTAGCAGCCATGGGAAGACCTTGGAAATAATGTGCTTAAAGTTAAAAAAAAAAATCTAACTGGAGAGAAGTTGTAAAAATGCTGAGCTCAGAATGTGGATGATAAGAAAACAGGGGCCTCTAATTATCCCGGATGGTTCCAACTAGTTTGAACAATAAAGAAGGGTTGTGCATGTTGAGTCAGAAGTAACTTTAACATACCAATGTTACCTTGGAGCTGTACCTGGTTATACACAAGCTTCAGCTAAAGAAGTACTGGTCAGCAGCTAGGAAGAAGTATGGTAAAGATTTAAAAAATAAAATAAAAAAAGACTTGGAAAAAGGGAACCCAGTCAGCAATCTTATCTACTTCAGGCCTAAGAACAGGGTCTAGCCCTAAACTGCTAAAGTTAGTAATTGGCAATCACATAACTTTTTTGTTAAAGGGTAGAAAAGGGTGAGCTCTTAAATGGCTCATCACTAGTACCTGGCTGACCAAATTGGAGCCAGTCAGCATAGGTTTGACCACCCCTGGGTCTCATCCTTTGTAAGTATTTGATCATTACTTATAAACGTTTGTTGTTGTATAGCTGTAGTAACTGCTTATCATTTAGGCTTTTAAACATGTTTAGAGCAATTACATAAATACTTGAATTTAATGAAGGAATTTATGGTTAAATCAGTGTCTGGCAGGACCCTATATTAGTATCCACAACAATTCCAGTAGTGACCTGTCCTCTGTATTATTTACCACTCACCCAATTTTTATGTCATTCAAAAACTTTATCAGTGTTTATTTTTATTATTATTATTCCAGGTCATTGATGACAATGCCTAATGTAAGACCAAGAACAGATCCCTGTTGGACCCCACTAGAAACACCCATTCAATGATGATTACATTTTGAGACCTATCAGTTAGCCAGAGTTTAAACCATTTAATGTGTGCCATGTTAATTTTATATCATTCTAGTTTTTAAATCAAATTGTTACCATGTCAAATGCCTTACAGAAGTCTATTACCTCAACACAACTATCTTTATCAATTAAACTTGTAATCTCATCTAAAAAAAGATATTAGTTTGACAGCATCTAGTTTCCACATCAAGCCCTGTATCAGCTACTCCATTATCTTGCCTAAGACCAATGTCTTACTGACAAACCTATAGTTACCCAGGTCATCTCATTTACCCTTTTTAAATATGGGCACATTACCTTTCTTCCAGTTTTCTGGAACTTCCCAAGTGTTCCAAGACACATTGAAAATCAACATTAATGGCCCAGCAAGCTCTTTTGCCAGCTCTTCTAAAGCTTTTGGATGAAAGGTATCTGGACCTACTGATTTTAAACATGCTTAAGTGTTGTAGCTGTTTTTTAATATTGTCCCAATGTAGTGGAACAGAGAGTGCTATCACATCATATGATATGACCACATCTATTTTCCCCCCCAAATAGAGAACATAAATATTTATTGAATACTTCTGCCTCTTCTGTGTTATTATTGATAATTCTACCATTTTCATCCAGTACTGGTACAAAACCATTGTTAGGAAATTTTTTTGTCCCTAATATATTTTAAAAACTTGTATTGTCCTTATCTCTGTTGGCCACAGAGTCCTCCTTGTTTCCCTTTGCTTCCCTTATCAATTTTCTACAATTCCTAGCTTCTGTTTTATATTCATTACTATCAACTTCCCCTTTCTTCAATTTGTTTATTTTTTATAGATGCGTTCAATTCCCCTCTAAACCAGGTTCATTTTTAAACCAATATAGCAGAATTCCTTGTTTGTGGATTTTTGAGCATCTAGTAAAGTGTTCTTAAACAATTCCCAATTATTCACATTTCCCTGATTAAATTCTTCCTGAGAGCTGATGTGGCTCACAATTGTTTTCACCTTTGTGAAATATGGTACTCTTAAATTTCTGTGTGTGTGTGTATACAATGTATTTTTCTGGTCTGGACTTTATTCTGTTTGCACATTATAAATATGATCAAGTCATGATGATGGACTTATTATTGCAAGATCACTTTCACTGAAGGTGCCTTCCACCTTCAAATTCTCAACTAGTTCTGCCCTATTTGTCAATTAAATCTAGAACAGCCTCTCCCCTTCTCCAGTTTCTGTAATAAAAAGTTGTCTGACGCGGGCTCCCCTGGGGCCTGATATAGCAAACACATGGGTGTGGGCATCCATTGATAGAGTTGTGTACATGTGTCAGGGGGAGGAGAAACTAATAAAGAAGCAACAGAAAGCCAAGGACAGCCAGAACAAGCTCTAGGAACCTGAGAAAAGCCTAGAGAGATTTTGGGCTAAATGCTAACCGGAAAAGCACCTGGAACTGTGAGCAAAAAAACTGTTTGCCTACTGAGTTCAGGAAAGCAGGACTTTGTAAATAAAGAGGAATGCATCAGAGAAATAGCTGACTCCAAATCAACTTTTCCACCTGATTGAAGCAACCCACTAGACCCTGAATTTTGGCTAACAGCTCAAGTAAAAAAAGGGATGACAATATTCTCTGTCCCGTAGTACTTTCTTCTACATTATTGACATCAGTGATACGGTGGTCATCTGTACAGTATTTAATTAGTATTGTACTGAGGACCGTGTGGTTATTTTTCTCAATGTGTATTCTATAATTAGTTGAGTTAAAGAACTAGTTTAATATGTTAAAGGCATGCTGCCTTGTCTACATGAGGTTGTTAACATGTGCTTAGCTAACATCTTTCAAGTCCTAGTCTAGACAAGGCGTTTCTAGGCTAGGGAGCATGGGTTTGAGTATGATCCTTAAACAATGTTCCCACTAGTGCACCTAACTCACACACCCCCCCGCCACCTTTTTTGCGGGTTTTTTTGTGTTTTGTTATTCCCTTTCCACTTTTTTCCATTTGTGAGCATCTATTCTAAGTTTATTGTTCTCTCATTAGCTTCTCCTTTTTGTTGTCCTGCCTCTCCATTTTTTTATCTTCTTTCCATTTCTGTTTCTCCCCTTTTCTGTTTTGTTTTTTCTCCCCCAGGCTGGTCATGCACATAGCACTAGTCTAGAAAAAGGAACAGAATGAAATTGATGTGATCCTAGGCTGTTTCACTCTGCTGCTACTGTTGGAGATGCTCTGTGTGTGGGAGCATCAATGACACAGGCCAATACAATTATCTGCTGTTGGGAACAGAGGAAAGATAGACAAGCAGTGTCCTCAAAATCAGTACTGAACCAGTCACCTAGCATGGTGCAATGGAACCCTACATTGCTGAAGGTGCTCTTCTGGGACAAACTGTACTTAATGGGAGATTTCACAGCACTTTACACAAGACTAAGGGTCCTAAGACTGGTGTCCTGTCCACTGGTTTATGTTCTGCCTAAACTCTCCTATAGTTTCAAATTGAGAAATTACTTTTCACTTTCTGTTGTGTGGTGTTCCTGACTCAGAATATCTACCATGTTTCATCCTAGAAGTGGTGCATTTGTCACTATACCACTTAGTCTGTAAAGAGTTTTCAGTCCAGTCAGGAAGAAAGGTGTTTTATAAGTGCAAATAATTATTTCTTGTATGTCCTTATTCTTTATCTTTCTGTAGTTGATATTCAAAGGGTAACAATCATAAAATACTTGTTTTCATAACATTCTGTATTCTAAGTAGAAATTTGATTTCCCCCCCCATTTCATTTATTCTTTTCTCCTCTCTTGATTATCTTTTTTTCTTTTTTCTTTCAGTGGTGCTTAAGACTGGAACATCACAGAAGAATTGTGTTCAACCTTTTTACCAACTTGTGATCTCTTAATGAACTTTAAAATATGAAAATTGAAGTTATATTACTATCAATGTTTTTACCTCCATTCTTCCCTTAATGGTGTTCCCCACAATACCCCAAAACCAGAATTGTAAGTATCAGGATAGGAGCACTTTTCTGGATCTAGGGATGTGCATCTGACTACCATGCTCAAGCAGGAACACCCAACCTAGGGTGACCAGATGTCTCGATTTTATAGGGACAGTCCTGATTTTTGGGTCTTTTTCTTATATAGGCTCCTATTACCCCCCAACCCGTCTCAATTTTTCACACTTGCTGTCTGGTCACCCTACCGCCACCACTCTGACAATCCCTTACAGTAGCTACTAGTGAGGTGGGAAAGATTACACGGTGCTCCTTTAAAGTTTCCTACAATCCCTTTTCCAAACATTTTTGTTCCTTCAGTGCCCCCTTCTGTTTTGGTTAAGGGCTTTTATATCTCTTTTTATATAAACCTTTTCATTATCCTTGCCCTAAGTATCCTGTTCATGTTGTTTCTCCCCCCACCCCACCCCTTCTTAAAATATAACATCCTATTTGTTCCCTTCAACTTCCCTTTGGATTTGATAGATTCAGGGGTATAAGAGCCAAGATTGACCCATTTTGGGGAGAGAATGTTTGACAAAAAATAAAGTTTCTTTTTAAGTTGTCTGTCACCTGTCCATCCTTTTTCCTCTGCAATTGTTGGTTCTCAGTCTCTTTTTTTTGTTGTTGTTTTTCTTTCCAGTTTATCTACATGCTGAAAGCTTGTATTAAGTCTTTTTCTTGTGTGTGAGATTCTTGTTTACTTAGTTGAAGGCCCCAGGTTTGGTTTGATTTTTTAATTGACTTCCTAAAGAAACTATGAAAATTCCCCTGCCTGTAAGTTCCACTGTCCCAGTTACGAGGGGTTATTGGCACAGGTATGTGTGCTCCAAGTGTTCAGAACACGGAAAACACGCTGTTTTGGGCTTTGAGCTTTTGAAGGTCCTACACACAGAGACTGAAAGGGAAGGTATACAAAGAAAGCATTTTACAGTTGTCCCCCCTTCAGACAGACGGCAGTGAGATCAGAGCGGAAGCAACACATGACTTAGTTCCTTCCTGCTCAGCCACCACCAAGACTGATGGAAAATGGGTAAGTCATGACCTGATTTCTCCTTCCTTCAATAGTGGGTTAAGAAGAGGCAACTTAAAGTCTGATTCTCCTTTGCAGCAGCAAGAGAATCATGACTATTGATTCTAAATACCCAACTTAAGTTATAAAGTAAGGCATAGTTAATTATAAGGCCAGCCTTTGCAGGTTATATATTAACACAGTTTGGAAACTCAGCCTCCAACTAAATTAGTAGGCTAAACAAGTTACAACAAATATAGAAAACTATCACCTCCTGACTACTCTCTCTTAATTCTATTATAATTTGCTCTTTCTGTTATTGTGGAGCATTACATGGGTAATGTTTAATTTCTAGTTTTAGTTCTAGTTTACTTAGAAAAGAAACAAAATAGCAAATTAAAAGCTTCCACCTTTATGCCCTGCTGTTAGTGTTTAAAGCTTTAGAGATGAGGCTCCTTGCATCTAAATTTTATGCACCCACTGGCCCTATCCATGGCTGTATATACACAGATTCTATAAGCATATAGCCCCTGAGCCTTTGTGACAAGGATCTGGGGGCTTACAGAGCCAAACATTTGTGGGCCTGAGATCCGGTTCATGATGTGAAATGCTTCACCTGCTCATGCAGAACAGTGACAATATTAAGGGAGTGATACAGCAAGTTTCTCAGAGAAAGGCCCAAGCCCTACTCTTTCAGGCTCCCAAGAAGAGATTCCAAATGCTGTTGAGAACTAATCCCCAAAGATGGGAGTCTTTCTCAGCATAGGGAGAACAGGGGGCCAGAATCTACAACCCTTCTCTCCTCCCAAGGAGTGAGGCTGGGAGCAGCTCTGTTCCTACTAACAATGAAAAGCAACTCTGGCTCATTTTGGGGAGGTCATCTTTCTGCTCTGTGAGGTCACAGGGAATGGGGGGGAGGGTGAGGGCAGGTCCTGTGACCACCTTTCCCCTTCCTCGAGACAGGATTTCTGAAGGGGTGGGGGGATCTGTCATAGCCCTTGTCAGGAACAAGACTTGGGATCAGATCTATAGTCTCCTCCCCCGCCAAGGAAATGCGGGGTTAAGGTCTGAGGCCTCCCTTTCCCTCTCCAAGAGGAGTAGGGCTGCATGATAAACTCCCAGCCTGAGGAAACTTGGGGACACATCCAAAGCCCCCCATTAGTAAGGAGATGAAGGGATAGCTCTGCAGCCCCTTCATAAGGAGAGAGGGGAATAAGTCTATAACCCCTCCCTCCAACAGGCATACGGGGGAGATAGACCCACACCCCAAGGAGCTGGAGGGGTGAGTGTGCCACATACCCCCATCTGAGACAGGAGCTGTGCGCCCCCGGGTAAGGAACGGTGCTCTCCACCCCCACAAGCTACTCCCTGAGAGGGGGCGGGGTCAAGCGGCTGCATCTAGCACAGACTTGGGTCCCAAGGGCACTAGCCCACCGAGCGCCGCCATCTTGAGGGCCGGCCTCCCCACCCCTGCCTGCCCTTCCTCGCCGCGTCAGCGACTGACTAGCTCCCTCCACGCTCCCGGCTCAGCAGCGGCGATGCGCGCCCAGCTTCTGCGGCTGGGGCTAGCGCCTGGCTGCACCCGACGCAGGGCGGGCACTTAGACTCGGGCGCCTCCTCTGTGGGGCTGGGCCCTACCGCGCGTGGGAGCTGCCGAGGGACCCAGGGCGGCAGCGCTGCGCCTCGCCTCCCGCTCCATGGGGCTGAGCTGGAGACCGGCCCCAGCCTGCGGCGGCCAAGTCCTGCGCCAGGCAGAGGCGGCGAAGGGCACCTCGGAGAGCAGAGAAGGCCTGGGGGAGCGGCCGGTGGCCGGGCACTGAGAGGGCCCCAGCACTCAGGGGCTCCGGAGCCGGCATGTGCGCTCCCGCGTTGGGGCTGTGACCGTCGCGGGGAGATCTCCTGAAATCTGTATGTTATTGGGGGCGGTACGGCGTGTGTGCCGGGGGGATGTCAGCCGGTCCCTGCTCCAGGCTGTGCCTTACGTAAGGCTGCGCTGGACACGGTGTGGGTGTTTCTTCTCTCACTGCTGGTTTGCAGCGAGATCTTCTGTGCAGATGCCCGGGCTGTCTCCTCCTCGGAGGCGCTCAGCCTGCCCACGGGAAGGGGAATTTTTGCTTAGCTGCCTACCGTTTGCGACACCCTAACGACTGTGACTTCAGTAGGCGCTTAGCAGGTGTGTGTGTGTGTAAATTTACCCTTTAATACTCACTTCAAGCTATCCAACAACACATCTTACTTACTGATAAACATGAGCTCATTCCAAAACTATAGTGTTGGTTACACCGTGTTTTCAGTATGATTGTAAACACCTCTGGTACAGTTTGCCACTGACTGAAAAAATCAATTTTCATCAGTCTTAGCATTGACTTGTTTGTTTGTTTGGGTTTTTTTTTTTGCACCAATTATTTTCGTACTTGTCAAAGTAGACAAAGTGAAGCATCTGCTGTGTATATCTGTTATAATATATTCAAGTAGATTTAGTTTAAACACACCACCAAACTAAACAATTAGGAAACCCACCTAGCCTTCCTTTTCATCTTCCAGCTTTTCCCTCAAGTCTTCTGTTACGCAGCACATTGCAATTCGTTTTGTACTTGTCAGACACAGACATTTCCCAATCATGAATGTGGTTACTCATACACAGAAGGAGCATAGTAGGCACTCATAGAAAATAAATATGAAGTACTAATCATAGGGCTTTACTTTTCACTGTATGTTTAAAAGAATTTAATAAGAGTGAGTGATTAGGTCTTAGCTGATTTTACAAATGGGAAAACTGAGGGGTTTTTTGTTTTAAAGGGATGTTGAATCTAAAAATCACACTTCAGTGTGTAAAATATTTTACTGACTGTAGCATCAAAGATCACATCTACAAATAAAACATAACATTACTATAACTAAAAGAGAGTAGGGGAAATATTTTTCTTTTTCAGTTTGTTTACTTTGTGCAATTGGCAACACTTCTCATATTGTTAGGGCTTTTCTACACACCGAATTTACACCCATTTAACTTACTTAGTTGGAAGCCACGCCTTTTAGTTATATCAGTGCCACTTTGTATGTAGACCAGGGCCTTCATTTCACTGCTTCTTTTGTGTAGTCAGTTTTCTTAGTTGTTGTTGTTTCTGTGGAATCTAGGCACTTTCACACAGCAAAAGTGTGGGGAAAAAATTAAAAATAGGAAATATTTTAAAACCCTAAACAGTGTGGAGGGAAACAAAGAAGAAGGGTTGGTACCTGAAACTACTTTTGGAATTGACTAGAGTTCAGACTAATGGCGTCCCTTTTCGGTGATTTGCCCAAGGTTACACCATTACTCTTCATTTACTCTCCCGAGGCTAGAAGACCGAATGGCAGTGTACAGGAGTGGAATCTGTACCAATCACTTCTCACCACTACAGTATCTGTTAATTTAAAGCACTAAGGTGATGCAATTAACTTCCTCTTTTTGTGGTTTTATTACTCTAGACAATTTTAAAAGCAGACAAACCCATTCAGTATGTTATTCCTCTAATGTGAGCACCTGAGATGCAGAGCTCTTTCATGGGAGATATTGCCCCTTCTGTCAAGGTTTCCACTTAAATGAGTTTGTCCAACAGAACTATAATGTGTTTATCACCAGCAGGATATTGTTATATTGCATCATGTTGTAAATGAGGTGATCTGCTTTGTGAAAGTGATCTCAGGATCCATTAACAATTTACAGAATCTCTTCAACAAAATCAGCATGTTTCTGGTAGAAAGTCCCCTCAGAATTTTGGGGAGGGTCAGTAAGAAGAATTTTTGTGGAACTCCAAACTTAATTTATCTTCCATTAAAAGTGGAGGGGAGAGTGAAGAGGGTCTTCATGCAGGAGAGGTGGAACCCAGCTGCTTGTGCTGGGGTTTACGCATAGTTGCCAGTATTTAGAAGAGTGTTCAAGAAATAGTACTCTGATCAAAGCAGGGATCTGGGAGTTGCTCGAACTCCTAGCAACTGGAGAGTTTGGTTTGTGTTTTAGTGCTTTACAAATATTAATCAGTACACCCACCACTCATGTGAAGTAAGTAACTAAGTAAGTATTATTGTCTGAGTTTTACAGATAGGGTACTAAGTTAGTGTTGGAGTTGGGGTTATAGAATGCAGTAGGTCCTTATACTCTGGTGCTTTTTAGTCTACTACTAGACCAGACTTCCTCTTGTTGTTGAGCTATCCCTCCTTGAGACCAGTAGCTACAATGTTTGCCTGGCAGAGGAGCTAGCTTAGCAGCTGTCCTTAGCACAAATGGCAGCCTAGGCAGCACTGTCTCTAAAAGTCATGAATTAGTCGTTAGTCCCCCCAGAATAAATGCATCTGTGACTAACTTCTCCCTCTCCCTTCTCTGGAATAAGGGAAAAAAGTGGGAGGCCAGGTCTACACTACAAACTTTTTAGATGGTGTAGTTAACACCAGTCGGGCTTGATTTGTGACTGACAGCTGTGCTAGGAGAAGCTCAAAGGGTAGCTGCACTTACCTACTTGTAAAACTGTGCTTTTGCACAGATAGCTTATGTCATTTGAGTGGGTATAGTGGAGGAGGGAGGTCCTAGACTAAGCTACATGAGCAAAAACGTAGTTTTGCTGGTATAAGCTGGGTCCACAGTAGGAGTGGTTTGCCAGCACAATACACCCTTGTAGCTATATAGCTATGCCAGCAAGGCTTTATAAGTATAGGCCTGGCCTCAGTTCCTGATCTGTAAGATGGGGATAGTAATATTTCTCTACCTCACAAGGATGTTGTGAGGATAAATATATTCAAGATTGTGAGGCGGTCAGATCTATGTCACTAGAGGGCCATATAAGTATATTAGGCCAGGTCTACACTAGAAAAGGTTTGCTGGTGTAACTATAATGGCACCCCCCCGCCACCACCTCCCAGCTGTAGATGCAGCTTATACTGGCAACAATATCGTTTATACCAATTCCCTGAGGAAAATAAGCTACACCAGCGAGAGCACTTTTATGCTGGTATAACTACATCTACATTAGGGCTTTTGCTGGCATCAAAGTGTTTTTTTGGGTTTTTTTTTTTTTTTTTGGCAGGGGCAGGAGTCGCACCCTTAACCAATTGGTTTACTGTTGAAAGCGTTCTAGTGTAGATGGGGGTCTTATATAGGAAGGCACGGGACACAGGCTGCTGCTGTGGATCAGAGCAAAGCCTTTGGGTGAAGGAGCCAGACACTGAGGTTATCGCTAGGAAGGCCCCAGGGTAGGCCAGGGAAAAGGCCAAGTTTTTAGTGCTCCTGAGAGCCTGGCCTCTGTAACTCTGCCTCATGTTCATTTAGGGTTTACTACCTGCAGAAGCCAAAATATACACCCTTCTCAGGTGTGGTTATGCAATTGTATCCTGCTTGGGACTGTTTGAGTGCAGAAGGAAGGGCTGAGAGTTTATTATTGCGCTGATTCTGTGCTGCAATCTATACTATGCAAAAGGGACCTAAAAAACTAGCTTGGAAAAGTGCTCTCCACTAATAAATTAGTGGGAAATAGTCAAATACAGATGTTCATTGGAAAGGAAAAACTGGGAAGCAGCGATGCTGAAAGAGCCTTAGGGGTGAGAATGAGCAGTAAGTTAGACCTGAGTTTGAAATGTGATATCGGAGTGAAAAAGCCAATGTAACTTTGGGCTACAACTAGCTGTGCTATGTATTAGGGAGGTAATAATTTCTATGTGGGTCTCGTGCAACCATACCTGAGATATTGTGTTCAGTTCTGGGTACCTTCTCATCAGAAGAATATTGAAAGCTCTGAGTGAGCAAGAAAAATAACCTGTGGGCTGGAAGAAAGTTTAAGAACTTAATGTGTATGGCTGAGCTAAACATCAGTTAAACTGAAGAGGGGACGTACTCTCTATCCAAATAGTTGAAAGGTGAAAACACTAGGGAGGAAGAGAAATTCAAGAAGTTGATACATGGAGGCCTGTGTCAGCAGTCTCTTGGTGTGGTCTTTCGAGGGGCCCCAGTTTCTCCTGGCTGACTCTCCTTAGCTTGTCTTCAGTCATGTGAGTTCCTGGACCTTTACCTCGAATTAAGGCTAGCAGACTCACAGTCTGCTTCACTCTCTTGATTACTTTCCTGAAAGCAGCCTGGTGTCTGCCCTTTGCTGTCCCATGCCTTTTTGCCTCCTCTTCCATCTGTCTTGGCTACCTGGAGGCCTTGTTTCCTCTATCAGTTGCAGCTGTGGGCATCTGTCTCCATGATTGGTAGCTCTGGCAGCTGTGTGGGAGTGTGATCAAGCTGAAGAGGTGGTTCTCCCCCCCTCTGTCTATGCTCAGTGTGGGGTTTGTAGACCTGATTACAAGGGCATAACTTGGAGTAATGGGGTAAAATTTAGTTAGATCATCAGGAAAAACTAACTGATAGTGAAGTGTGTTGCATTCTCTCAAGAGAACTGCTGAATCCATGTTGTTTGGGAGATTTACAGCGTAGAGTGGACACAACATTGGAAAATGTACTGTATGGGATAAGGATGGACTGGTTGACCTAAAATAGGCTATTTTCATCCCAGTTGATCAAATGTGGTAAATGTACACAATGCTGCAAGGTGGGTAAGGTTGTCAAATATTTAGTCTGTGTCCCAAAGAACTTGCATTCTAAATGCATGTACGATATAAAATATAACAAATGTGGGCAGGGAAGGAGCTCTCTATAAGAACACTCGTATACATTGGTGCTCTGGATTAACGGTGTAATGTTTTATAATTCAATTGGGTTAGGAAAACTTTCTTTAAAAACTTCAAAGCTTTGTTTGAATCATTTAATAGGCTGACTTTTTAATGTGCAGTTAAATTGGAGAAGAGTTCCTATCACTGATACTAGTGCATATGTCACACTTGCCACAAAGTAATCAAGATGTGAAGGTTGTCTTCATGTTCTTTATGTATATAAATCTCCCCACTGTATTTTCCACTGAATGCATCCGATGAAGTGAGCTGTAGCTCACGAAAGCTTATGCTCAAATAAACTTGTTAGTCGCTAAGGTGCCACAAGTCCTCCTTTTCTTTTTTGCGAATACAGACTAACATGGCTGCTACTCTGAAACCTGTCTTTATAACCAGGGGAGAAACAAACTGTATATTGTTTTTTGTTTTTTTAAAGTAGGTAACACATTTGTGACTTTCTGTTGTCCATGTTTCCATAGCAACTGCAGAAATTAGAAAGGTCATCTCCATCTCAGTCTGAAATGGGGCACAGGAAAAAAGCAGAATCTCTGTGGCCATGTCTACATTAGCATTTTTCTTAAAATCTCCAACTCTTAATCCAGCATCAATGCAGCATCACTATTGCTTGTAACAGTGGGAATGTTAGTGTAGACCACCAATTGGTATCTTTACCACTGTGTTGTGTACCTAAATTAAAGAATGCCTGTGTTGTGTCAATGCACTTTCTGCTGCGGTTTTTCTATCGTGGCGGGACGGGGGGGATGTTACCCTCTTTTACCCGCTCCTTTAGATGAAATTCAGAGTCCTACGGGTGATTTCAGTTGGAAGGAGAAATTGATGATCAAGGCAGGCATGTCTTTCATACAAACCTGTTTGCTTTCCAAGAATGTACAAAGTCCTGTTTCCTTGAACATAGGAGGAATCAAACAACAAGAGAGTGTTTCTTTGCTCAGAGTTCCACGCCCCTTTCGGCCACCACTCAGCCCAGAATGTTCCCTCTCTGGGTTGTTATTTTTCCCCCAGGGCCATGGTCCCAGGGTTTGCTTAGGCTATGTTCTTGGCTACTTTGGTCTCTGTTCTGGTGCTTCCATTCTGTCTCTCTCTCACACCCAGCTGCCCTTCCCCAGTTCCTGGCCAGCCTCTGTGATTATCACTCTTCAGGGAAACCCCTTGGCCAGTGTGGCCCAGGCTTACCAGGCTGGTCTATTCCTTGAATGGTGGTTTCCATTGTTTTTTAGTACTAAACAAAGTTCCATTTTTCTAATGGCTCCCTCATAGGTACTTACCAGATCTGTGATCCCTGCAGCCACCATCACCTCTCAGCATAAAAATAAGACTTTGTCTTAAGTTCTTAACCAGATGAATGATGCAGAAAGTCTGGTTGGTTAGAAAGGATAATTGGCTTAGAATGGTGATCTGATCTTTTTTTTTTGCTTGGTGTGGTAGCAGTGGACATGATTTCTTCTGTGGCCACTGGAATTTATTCTTAATTAGAATAGGAATTCTCCTCTATTGTAGCATCCTCTCTTCTATTGTAGCATCTTATTGAGTATCCTTAGGCAATGGTGATGAAATACAGAGAGCTCTCTTTATTTAGTTTTAAATTAGCAAGTTGGTAAGATGCCCCGTCCACTCCAAAATATCCCAGAGGTCAGGCAGAGAATAGAGCCAGTGGGAAAAGGGAGGAGGCTAGTTTCTTATTTTCTAGTCTGCTTGGCGCTACTCTTCATTTTAATGCCATAAATGTACGAAAGAAAGCAGTTCACTCCAAAATATGTATTAATATATTAAACTGAAGTGTGCTTTCCCTGCTCTTGGACAGGAGGCCCAGCACTTGATAGCATTAAAAGCCACGTTACCATTAGCCAATTTTTAAAGGTTGTGGAAAACATTTTAACTATCTGAATAACTGAAAGAATATTTCCCCTCTTTTTACATTCAGAACTTGCATTCTTCTTATCAAATGATGTCATTTGTTCTTTCAAATGAACAGAACATCAAGGTGTGTGACGGGTACATACACCCACATGTTTTTCTGGTCATGCAGTCAGCAATCAGATGGTTCACAGAGGGGGCATTATGAAAGAAGCACATCAACTTAAAAATCACAATTTTGTCTGACAATGTTACTCCGCACCATTCAGAAGCAACGGTGTAACCAAATAAGATTAGACTGAATCAGATTGTTCACTCTGCATTTGACAGCATTCTGTGTTGAGTCAGTTAAACTGCTTCCTCAGCAGAATCAGTCATTTGCCCATTTGGATTGGTGTCTTATGCAGCAGCATCAGAGATGGGGGGGAGGGGAATCTTTTAAAATTATATAAATATGGTTGTATAACAATAAAAATTGACTGAGGAACTTCGGAGCAGGCATGGGATCTGAAACTGCTTGTAACTCCTCGTTTGAAATAGTTTAGATTTCAGATTTGACAGGAGGGTATCATGCATGGGTAAAGCTCACGGGTTTTTTTTAAGCAGACTCCCTCCCCCATCTACATTACAACTGTAATTTAGTAATGAGACCATGTGACAGTATCTATCAGTCCTTCTCTGTTCGTTGCTGGAGGCATTGGAGCCCTGACATCCCCTGTTCAATGACCAGACCAGGCTACAAAAAAGACTTAGTCCTCCAGTGGCCTAGAATGGCTAGGAGGAGACTTTGACCAATCAGGACCCAGCACGCCAGTTAAAAAGGCTTGTCCCCTTTTTCTCAGGGCAGCGCTTCTGGATGAGAGTGGGACAGATCAGGAGCTCTGCTTGCCCAGAACCTCAGGGTCTTGCTTTCAAGCATTGCAACTAAGTGCTTGTCTTTGAGGTTCATTTATTTAAAGGTGCAGACAGCCAAATTCTGAGTTTATTTTTATTTAACTGTTTAGATACTGAAGTCAAGCTTGTGGCACAGACTACCCTCCTGCAAGCAGGTAGCCAAAACTTGTGGACTAAGCCAGGGGTGCCTGGAGTACCACCCAAACAGTCCCACCTGTGACATACCCAAATACGGCACCTTTTTCCCCAAGCCTCGTTACAGCACCATTACAAGTTGTAACGTATATAGGACCTAACTGCATGGATTGTAACAGTGAGCTTCTTTTTTACTCTACAGCTTCTAATGGTGTTGTAACGGGATCTCCTGACTTGATTAGAGTTTTAGTATGTATGGAACTTCCATCTTTCTGGCCCTGCTCACATTCACTTTTCATGACGTTAGGAAACAGTTTCTTAAAGAAAGCTCTTAAATATGATTTCAGCTAAAATGATGCTGCCAGTTGGTGTACATGAAACATAACTTACTTAAAAGTTTGTTTTTAAAAACAATGTTGTGTACACTGGCTATGGATATGGCCCTGTTAAGTGAAACCAGTTTTCAGACCTGGCCCAACAAGACAAATGCCTTAGCTTTACTTTTGTGATTGATTTATTTTTCATTAAATCAGAAGAGCTGAAAGTGCCTTTATTTATTTTAAATAAATGTTTAGATTCCAGAGTCTACAGTAGAAAATCCTCAAGTCATGTCACTTTCCATGCCAGCAGATTTCATTGTTTCAGCTCTTGAGTTACATTTAGATTTAATTTTCACTTGACATATATGCTAGAATTAAAGTTGAAACCCAAGTGGATTTTAGTATTTGTACTAATTGTAAAGCTGTGCTATTGGTGAATTGTGTGCACTTGCCACTATCAGCAGAAGAGAGAAATAGCTAAGGAGGGAAGAATGTGTATTTGGGATCCACCCAAATGATTTTACAGTTTTCTATTTTATCAGTTTTGTTTCTTTCTCTCTCCCCCTCTCAGTAGCTGCCATTATCTGGCTGGGTGATGGACAGAAGTGCTTGTGGGAGGGATTTGGAACTGCATTTTAAAATAATCAGAGAGACACACTCCCACTCAGAAGTTGAATAACACTGTTTCATTCTTTTATTTTTACAGATCAGAACATCACATGCTCCGTTTTTAAAACGAGCAGTGAGAAAAGATGGATACTTTCTCAGACTTTATCGCAAAGAACCTCTCCTCTTCAGCCAATATGTCGCATTCCCTGCCCAGCAAGTTGGACTACCAATTCAATGTTACCAGCCGTTCTCCTTCCATGTCAATAAGCAGGCTTTTCCCAGCACTGCTACAATGCTTTGGCATCATCCTCTGTGGATATATAGCTGGAAGAGCCAACATCATCACATCAACTCAGGCCAAAGGACTGGGAAATTTTGTCTCCTGTTTTGCGCTTCCAGCTTTGCTATTCAAAAACATGGTGGTACTTAATTTTTCCAATGTGAACTGGTCCTTCCTTTGCAGCATCCTGGTTGCCAAAGCTTCTGTATTTTTCTTAGTCTGCATTTTAACATTATTGGTAGCCAGTCCTGAAAGTCGATTTGGCAAAGCAGGACTGTTCCCTATTTTTGCTACACAAAGCAATGACTTTGCACTGGGATATCCTATAGGTAAGAAACCACTTATGCTCTCTTGTTTTTGTTAACTTTATTTTTTTAACATTATTTTTCCTTGTCCTAGGCATTTAGTGTATGCTGTGATTATACAGTCTTGTGTTCTTGTGCTTCTAAATTAGAACTGTTTTACATTCTGCTGAATTGAAATCTTAGGCTGTATAAAACAGTTGTCAACAAACAAACATACGTTTACTTGTACAGAGACATGTTTATGACTTCAAATGTGTTGACTGGATGGCTCTGGGAATCAGGGTGGATTTGATTTAAATCAAATTGATTGAAATTGTAATATAAATCACTAGTCAGGAAGACTCAATTTAATCATGGATTTGTACATAAAAGTGCATTCTTGTTGGTTGTTACAACCTTAATACATATTCTTCACAATTCAGAAATAGATGTAGGTTTCATTTTTAGAAGGTTCACACTATACATTTTTAAGTAATTTGTTTTGAAAACTTTTCCGATTAGTTTTACAGCTATATCAAAAAATGAATGATTGTTTGGTTATTTCATTTACCAAAGGTAATCAAAGCAGATATTTATGAGGTCATTGGGAGGCGAACTATCTCCAATTCAACAGGTTAATCATTAATATTTAGAGGATTTTCTTGCCATGCTGTATTAGGAGGAGCGCATCACCAGACAGACATTTTAAATTGTTTTATTTAACTAAAACACCGACATTATGTATTCTGGATTTTTTTCTTCAACAGCAAACATATGATATTTTAACAAAACAAGCATGAATTTTTGAATTTAAACATTCAACTTTTTAAAATCGGGTTTGTTTTTGTTAAAATTGTTTTTAACTAAAATGGTTAAATGAAATACTTTTTATAAAAAAAACAAAAATTAAATCGACTGTGTCAGCCAGGTCAACATGAAAAACTTAAAATATAGCTTCTGCAGCTAACTCAGTCGTCTTCACCTTCATTTTCCTGTTTGTTCGTAATCTGAAAAGAAAAACAAGCTTTCCTGCTTTTTCAGGTCCCAAATAATTTCTCAATTTGGAATGAATTAGTCCAAAGGAAGAAACTATTCTTTCTGCACCATCAGAAGAAGCTACTGCTGTTAAAAGTGAGATTATCACTTCAACAGTCTCCGAATCCAAGTGCTTAAGTGACTTCCACTAGGTCACTGGTGTGACTTTCTTTAAAACATCATCAGCAAACATATATTTCTTGAATGATTTCACCCTTAGCTCTGAACTTTATTATAGTTGGCTTTATGGAGGGATGATTGCTGGATGTCCATGTCATAGCCAACTCCTCTTCTTCAATAGTTAAGGTTTGACCCTGGTAACGAGTATTGAGAATATTTGCAAAAAAATGAGCTGGAGATAGTGCTTGTCCCATTTGTTTTTTTAATTCTTGTAATTTAACTCTGTCATTGCATAGTTCTTTTTTTAAGACCTCACTCAGTTCCTTCCAAATTTCAACAGCATCAGTAATAAAACAGCTCTTTTCTCTGCATTTTATTCAAGGCTACAGAAATAGGCTTCAGGGGACTTGGGGTGTGTTCAACGTTTCTCTGAAGCCCAATGGTGAGAACTTTGGCTGTGACAGGGCCATCTATTTTTTCACAATTTTGTTCACAAACTGTCATCAGATTAGGCCAGTTCTTGATAATTGTGCTGAAAATAGTCCACTACTGAGTTCCATCGCATGTCTTGTGGGAGAGTTAGCTTGGTTCCTCCCACTTTTTTCAGAGCAGCTGCTGCAGAATGGTTGTTACAGAAGTATCTTGCAATTTCAACAACATTAGTCTTTATTTCTGGAACACTGAAGTCTTCGGCTAGGAGGTGCATCAAATAAGCACTGCAACCTTATGGTATTAGCTTGGGACTCGCTTCTAAATTTCTTCTCATCTTGGGTACATTTGCAGCAGTGTCTGTGACCAAGCTGCGTACTAGACATTTTAATTTTTTTTCACAGTTTGTTATAGCTTTTACTGCTACGTCTTGTAAGTATTCTGTTGTGTGTGCATTTCCTGATGTATATCAGTTGTTTCTGAAGACATTCTCTTCTTCTGTTGTGTCACAAGCACATACAATAGGATCATTGTGAACATTGCTCCACCCATCAAGACTCAGGTTAACAATTTTACCCTCTAGACCTTTTGCACAGTGCTCAATTTCTCTTTCATACAGTTTATCCAACAATTTGCCTATGACATCTGCTTTGTTGGGTGGACTGTATCCTGGTCTTAATGACTGAACCATGTTAATGAAGTGTGGGTTCTCAATCATATGGAAAGGAGTTTGTTGCATAAACAAACGGGGCAATTTTTCCATCAATTACCTCTTTTTGTAATCTGCTGGTTCTTATCACAAACTTATATATGATTGTTTCTGGATGATGGGATGGATTCTCCTAAACAAAATAAGTCAATGCAGTTATTTAATTATTATTACCATACTGCTCATTTAGTTTTTCTCATTGCATTCACTGACACTCAGTACTACTTTAAAAGGTGAAATTGTAAAAGGAAGATCTGCCTATTTCAGCTATTTATTTTTTTATCACAACTGCATCGAAAATGATAGTACCACAGAGTAACAACTATATTTTTTGCTCAAACATGAGAATTCAAGAATAGTCCAGAAGGAAGACAGGCAGTCCTTAAGAAAGAAGTATGAAATAAAAAAGTTTACCAACCTGAAGATCCTGCATGTTCAAATATGTTCCTTTCATCATCTTCAATGCAGCTTCCTCCTGAAAAGGAACACTTTTCACAATGTTGTTTCATTTGGGCAACCGGGCCTTGCATTTATTTGTTGCACTGTTGCATTTTGCACGCATGCCTGTCTTACCCACAGGTAGAGGAACTTCATTAAAATATTCCCAAACTGGGTCTCTTTTATGGCCTGCTGCCATTATAGGTTTTCCCTTCTAGTGAGAGAATGGTCTGGTAGATCTCAAATCTACGAAGGCTGCACTCAGAAAGACCTCAAGACTTCTGGAATATGCTGCTCAAACAGTTTCACTTTTGTTTCTACTGCCTGTCCCTCCCTTCTCACATTTATCTCCAGACTTCTTCTTCTTGTCCAGATCTATTCCTCCCCCAACAATCTTCTATTCATTGAACTTTTTGAAACTTTGTGCTTTTAGAGAGAGGTAAGGGATTGACTTCGTTTACACAAATTTGCAGAGGGACAATAGGGTTGAAGTCTGTTATTTATCACCGCTATATATTTATTTATTTAAAACATTTTTGCTGTTAACAAGCATGTTATCTCGGATGACACAAATCCACAGTTTGAGACTCGCAAAACTAAGCATCCCTGATGGCATCTTTTAGACTGAGCACTGAGTCACATTGGGTAGATAGAAAGATTAACCTAAATCTATACAGAAGACCCTGGAACCCCATAAGATTGAGTCCATAATCCATGAATTATTGGAACTCATTTACAAAACTTTTCTTAAACATTATGTGAATTCATTGTCTCATACTATAGAATTTGAATTTATAATCCCTATTCCATGATGAGATCTCTTTGAGCTATAATGTATCTTAATTAAAACTATCTTTAGATAGTTTTTTTTCTCAAAAAGCATTTTATCAAAAAAATCTGATTTAAATTTAAAAAATCTGATATTTTTTTTTTAAAGCATTATTTTTATCCACCCTGCTGGGAGCAGAGAATAGGATACAGAGTCTTTCAGCTGCAATTTGTCACTGTGCATCTACACCAGATATATGGGGACAAGAAGTTGCTACCATCTGTTAGCTATTCAGAGGTCTACATATAATGAGCTTAGTTTGGTTTTCAGTGGACTGATGTCCACATCCATGGTGGCAGTGTCTGCAGAGAAACCAAGAAATAAATAGACTGGACTACCATGTCACGCACATGAGCGAGTCCGCTAAGTCTGTGTTGAGGCACGTTAGTCAGAGGAATTTTTTGTTGCTGCTGCTGCTTGTGCTGTACTCCTTCTGTACATAAAGAGAGTACTTAATTCTCCAGAGGTATCAATCTGACGACAGTTGTGAGCAATAAACGCCCCTAAAATATTTTTTTTTAAATAGTCAAAATTTTTAGCTTTGTGTGGAAAACTTGCAAAACTGTCCTAAAACTAGAAATATTTACTGTGTGGAAGATTTGTAAAGCAGTATACATTGCAGTACAGAACTCCTACAAAGATCTGACATCCCTCCCCTGTCCCGAAAACCAACAGACTTCACACACAATTCTAGATGAAGTGCGCTGTAGCTCACAAAACTTAGGCTCAAATAAATTTGTTAGTCTCTAAGGTGCCACAGGTATTCCTTTTCTTTTTGCGGATACAGACTAATACAGCTGCTACTCTGAATTCTAGAAGACTTGACTAAAATAAGATGTTGCTGTCCTGTAGTTGTGTTGCTTGTTGCACTGCTGTCACAGAGTTATGCGTGACTGCGAAACTCATCATTTATAATGTTAGTTTTCTTTTTGTTTCAGAACGGTTTAATGCTTCCAGAAATTGCAGTCGGAATAAAATTCTTACTATGAGTGTCTAATTAGGGGTTTACTGCTCGCCTGGAAAACATGCTGATTTCCAATCCGGGCTACCCGAGTCTCCCCAAACTTTAAAATTCTGAGGTTGCAGCTTAATTGTACATTTTCATAACATTTCAGGAGCTGCAATGGATGAGTTGCCTTGTACCTTCTTGGCTTTAGCTCTTGACCTAACATAAGGAAACCATCTAATGTGCATGTTTCCATCTATTGGGGAGTTTGTTCAAGAAGATTTAAAAGTGCTCAAAACAGAATTTAACTATCTATTTGTTGGCATGCTGGCATCTTAATTTCTGTAGCAGGTGATGGAGGAAAGTTGCATCTTTTGGACTCAGTTCTAATATGTGATCATCAAGCATGCATTGTCATATGTTCTGTGGGGGAAATGTCGCTTTGTATGTACACAGGATTTTGCATAGCCCATGGTAGTGTGTGACCATATATTTCAAATCTGAGCTTCTTGGGACTTTTTCTATGCCTTCAGCATAGA